ATAACATTAAAGATAAAATGAGAATAATGCATAGTATTCCTAATGGTAACTTAACTAGCATATTGACAAATTATTAAAAGCATATCCTGTTAGCTCCATTTAGATGCATAAATTCAGTTTTTTCTCTTTACTCGTATTTCTTGATTATAGTTCCAATTCACCAAAAGATTTTGTAGTTGCAAGCTACATAGTCCATAAGAGTTTGTTTTTTATATTGGTTTCACAAAATTCAAAACATCTTATCTACATCTAAAATCAGCTCAGTCACTTCCCTTTTAAAACCGGCTTGTACAGTTATTTTTTTTTAAAACTAGCTTGTACAGTTATTTTTTTTACTGTGTTGCCTTTTCTATCAACAGCAGACTTTCTTATTAAGGCCTTATAATAAAATATTGTTGTTAGTGTGAAACATTAAAATATTACTGGTTTAAAATAATATTGGTTTGAAATAATACTGGTTTGAAAATATTTTTGAATAAAAAATGTTTTAAAAAGTAGCACAAGACCTTAAAATATCAGACAGGTGTCTAATATTATCTAAAAATTTTATTTTTAAAAGTATGTCATGTTGGGCCTTGAAAAAAGCAAAATTAAAGTTTTGAAAATATAAAAACTAATTAATAACTATGAAAAATGTACCCTTTAATTTTTTGTTAAAATAATTTTTAAGCCATTAAACAAATAATCTTTATATAAAATAAAAAATGATTATTTTAAATTTTTTTTTTGTAGTTTCCCTTTTTAAAAATTTTCAAATTGTTAAAATTTTAATATTTAAAAAATTAAAAATATTAAAAATGTAAAAAATTTTTTTTAAAGTATGTTATGTTGAGTCTAAAAGGCTCAACATAACATATTTTACAAAAAAAATTTTCAGTAATATTATAAACCTGTATGATGTGTGTTACTTCTAAAAATATTTTTTATTCAAAAATTTTTTAATCCAGTATAGTTTTATTAAATAGAACACATTAAGAGGGTTCAAATACAGCATTTTTTGTTGTTGTTTTTCAACCTACTACTCATACATCATTAAAATATTTGATATTACTAATTTGTAGCATATTTTTAATGGCTTAACATAATTGTTAATGAGCAGTTGTATTTTATATACAAACTATAGACTGTGCTCATCGTCAATAGAAATGAAGCAATGTGACTCAGATATCAGAACACCATCTGATTTATAGTATGTTGAATAAAGTGTACATTTTAGTTTATTCTAGTGGTAACTTAGCACCTGAACTACAAATTTAAAGTTCTCTCAAAGTCACCCAGTATACACTAATTGTGATTTATTAAATCTTTAAAGTTTTTAAGGTACTTGGCTTGATGTTTAGCTATAAGTGAATGAGGTGTCAATATATTTTATTGTATATAACTTTTAAATTGAGCCTAAATTTTAAAAGGGTTCAGATTTAAATGCAGATTTATCATAAAGTTCATATTTAACATAAAAATATTTTATGTTAATATCTTTTTTTTTTTAATATGTTGCCTGTACCCTTTACTGAAAATTTTTTTTTTTTCCAGGCATAATTTCTCTGTATTCTTCACTTTAATAAAAGCTATGAACAAGATTAAATGTTTCAAGGTGACTTTCCTTTTTTCGATCATGGTTAATGCAAAATTCCATTTTATTTTTTTAGTTTTTATATATAAAGTTTATATATAAATACTAATATAATCAGATGTGACCATAAATCTGGAATTGGTATTAATATCTGAATTTTGAGTTCGGTGTCAAATTTTTGAGTTTATATTTAAATTCAGTCAAAAATGAGTAAAGTTTACCATTTTTTCGTTAATCAATTGAAAAAGTTATTTTGGTCTACAAGGTTATATCAATGTAATCATAGAATCAACATAAGCTTAAACATAATAAGTTATATTAATAATTTAATAATATACTTTAGTTATTTTGTTTGTTGCTTCTTTCGCTATTTGATCAATTTTTTCTTTTTGAATCTGGTAATTGTTGATTTTTTGGCAATGATTTAGACCTGATAAGAGCAGCAACTGCTTTGTGTCATTTTGTGCCAAAAGTGCCATTTTGCAGCGGACAAAACAAGTGCAACTTTTTTGGTTTGTTTCATTTTCTTAAGTCTGGTCCGTGTCAATGTCACAGAAGTTTTTTAATAATTAAAGGAAGTATCCAGAAGTTCCCAGAAGCATGCTGAAGCTTCCAGAAGTTTCCAAAAAAAGCATCTGGAAGCATCTGGAAGCATCTGGAAGCATCCAGAAGTATCCAGAAACATTCAGAAGCATCCAGACGCATCCAGAAGCTTCCAGAAGCATCGAAAAGAAGCGTCTAGAATCTTCCGGAACAGGTTCACACAGGTTCATTTTACTATATAAGAGGAAGTCAATCAGTCAGTATTATCAAGACAGTTTATCGAAGTGGGTTTATCAAAGTGTTTCATCAAAGAACATCAATACAAGAAGTGAAATACAACAAGTGTTACATTACATCAATACAGTCCACATCCAACCAAGACTATATGTTTCTCAGAGCATTATAGTATCATCACTAGGTAAATCTAACACGGTAAGCCTTGAGAAGTGTGATTATTTATTTTTATTATTTTTATGACTTTAAGTGCAATAATGGCTCCCGACAGTCTTGGATTGGAACTAAGAAAGAAAATTATTGGAGATCATGTAAGTGGAATGTCACAAAAAAGTATTTGTTATAAATATCGCGTGAAAAAATGTATTAAGACTATGTTTCAAATATCGTTCTACGGGGAAGTTGGCAGCAGATAACAAAGGTGGAAGACCGCGTTCCACCACTTCTAGAGAGGATTCTATTATTGTCAGATCCGTCAAGAAGGATCTCTGGATATCATCAGTCGAGATACAAAAGCAATTAGAGCTGCCTGTATCGGACCAAACAATCAGACGACGTGCTGTTGAAGCCGGATTGTTTTCTTGACTCCCTGCAAAGAAACTGCTGATTTCACTAAATAACCAGAAGAAAAGACTCCTGTTTGCTACATCTCATATTGACTGGAATGTGCAGAAATGATGAACTATCATGGTGGAAGTAATGTAATAGTCTGGGGGTGTTTTTCTGCTAACGGTCTAGGTCCAATACATCGAATCGATGAAATAATGGACCGTTTCAAGTATAAAAATATCTTGAAAGATGTTATTTTACCTCATGCTGAATGGAATATTCCAATAAAATGGGTTTTTCAGCAAGACAACAATCCAAAACACACTGCAAAAGAAGTCAAGCAGTGGTTTCAAGACAACCATCTATCGGTGATGGATTGGCCACCTTAATATCCGGATCTCAACCCTATCGAGAACCTGTGGGAGATCGTCAACCGCAAAATTAATCGTGAAGGTGTTTGTAATAAGGATCAACTGTTTGAACAAATCCAAAAGGCCTGAGCAGCGATTATACAAAGTTTCATTGATCGCCTGATCGAATCTATGCCTCGAAAATGTATGGCTGTGATGGTCAACAAAGGATTCGCCACAAAATATTGATAGCAATATACAGCTTGGTCAACATTTTGTGGAGTTTCACTTGTTTTGTCCAGAAGAAAATCAACTTTTTATAATACTTTTGATTAATTTATTAATTTTCGTGTACAAATAATGAACTTTGTGATGAATAAAACTTGAAGAACATTGTCTCTAAACAGTTACATAGTTACTTCTTTTAATTGAAAAAATGCAACACTTTTATATTAAGAAACTAAATTAGCATTATTTGGTTGCACTTGTTTTGTCCGATACTGTAAATAGTATAAAAGTTACCTTTCACGTTTTTTTTCTATTTCCATGTTTTTAAAATAGATTACAGTATTTCTGAAATTTTTTTTCAAATTCAAAAAAGTATTCTTTATGGTAATAGTAAAAATGTTGTAAAAAATTTTACACAATCAAAACCAACTTTCAATAATAACTCATCATTATATGTTTTTCATCATTTAAAAATGTCTGCCCTCCAATTAAGGTTGGCATTCAGAAATGCTGACCTAAAAGTACCCGAGGTCAGTGATTTTTTGTGGCTTTTTTGCTGTTGTTATTCTATGTTGTTATGGTGAAACCTTTGTTTTAAAATGTTTTTTCATGCCTGGTGCTAACTAAAAATAGTTTAAGGTTAGTAATTTATTGCTTATTATTGCTTATTATTGGTAATTATCTTATTATTTCTAATTCTGTCAACTGCTTAAAAAAGGTGATAGGTCTGAAAGACTTTATTTAATATTATTTAATATTATATAATTTTTCATAAACTTAAAGTATCTTTGTAATAATCACAATTAAATTGGTATAAAAATTAGCAAATTTTCTCTCAACAAACAGTTAGTCTAGCTGAAAACTTTTAAAAAACAGCAAACCAAGAGAATATATTTTGATGAATAGAGTTAATATAAACTTCAAGAGCAAACATGATAAACATATGCATATTATGGTTTAAAGAAACACCTATTAGCATCGATTTATAATATTATGGTTTGAAGAAACACCAATTCGCATAGGTTTATAATAGATTCTAAAGGTATTGAATCTCAAGGAACATAAATAGTTTTTTTACTCCTATATTGAAGTTTTATTTTAAATTAAAATATTTTTTGAATTGAATTTTTTAATTGATTTTTTAATTATGAATCTGTTTATGTACCTTTTATGTACCTTATGTATAGAAAGCTTGTCAGCTTTTCTTACCTGTTGTAAGGAAAGCTATTAATCTATCCTTAAAACATTTATTTAGATAAATTTTTTCTATGTAAATAACAAATAATGACTAGTAAATAATAATAACTAAACTTGAAAGTTAATTGGAAAGTAATTATAAACTTTAAAAACAAAGTGTTTAGTAGTATAACTGTAAGGATCGAATGATTTAGTAAATTTAATTAAAATTATTGTTTATTGCCTACTTAGTATGATTACGTGATGATGGCAATGATTTGTATAATCCTTTAATTTTTTATTTATATTACATTATAATTTTTAATATGTATACTTTTAATTTTTAGGCAATTTCCTTTGGACGCTCAGCTTTGTTGTTGTTGGCATATGCCTGTATTTTCAAAAGTCAAAAGTGGTACATGATTGCAGTAAGTTTTTATGTAAAATAAAAAATATTTTAATTTTAGCATGATTTTATTAATCTTTAATTTTTATTATTTGTTTTTTGTTTAGCTTATGACAGCATCATCAACTATCTTTCTTTTAGTAAAAGTATTTAAGATAGAAAAGGTTTTTACTTAATTTTTACTCTTTAAACTTTGCTAAGGCTTAGTCACCCGTTTTAGGGAGTAATTAGTACAAAATAAATACCAAAGTTATCTGTATTTGTAAGCAAAAATTATGTTTAAATACTTAATTTCTTTACATTTGTTAGCATATTATTTTGATATTTATCTCTGCTGTAAAAAATTGTCTTCATTATATATAAAAGTAAAGAAAATGTTTGATAATAAAATCATCTTTTGTCTAAGGTATAAAAATAAAAATTGAAATTTAAAACAGTTATTTTGTGATAAAAACTCAAAATGTTTTTTTCCATAAACTGACTTTTTAACTTCTTTTTTTTTAAATATTTTAGATCAATGAGGGAGCTCCAATGAGTTATTTGTTAATTATTTATTCATTTGTTATATGTTGGTGTGAAGCGTGGCATTTTGATTACCAAGTAAATATTGCATTGCCTTTTAGACAAATTTACCAAGAACCTTTTACCAATTTTAACCATACTTTATTTACCACATACCTACACATTATATTTTTAAATAACTTGAATAATAATACATATGTTAATTTTATTTGGACGAAAAATTATCTCTATGTAACCTTAAAACTTTTACTTTTTTTTTGTGGTGCTAATGTTAGATATTTTTTTAATTTTTTGGATGTATTATTAATAATTTTTATATATTTTGTACTATATATATTGTATTTTCAAAATTTGTGTTATGTTTATTATTTTTTTAAATTAAAAAAATATCCTTTAGGTAATACCAAAAGAGACACTAAAAAAAAAAGGTAATAATGATGATAAAATTGAGAGAAATAACAATGATAAATTAAAATAATTAAAAAGCAACATTAATTCTTTTTTTGAATTAACTTTTTTTTTGAATAAGTTTTTATCTAATTCATTTTTTGAGTTTATTATTTTGTTTTAAGTAAATTTTTTTGTTTTTAAATTTTATTTTCACATTTTGAATTTCAGTTAAAAGTATTTCATTATTCAAATGACATTGATAATTATTTTATTTTATTATTTTTATTTATTTAATTTTCATGCTATATTTTCCTATACAATGTTCTTATATCCGAAGATATTGTTGGCTTAGCATAGGAACAGCAACAAATAGTCATTAAGACTAATCCAAAGTAGCGTCCGTTATTGACCAACATTTTTGCGTACCGAAGTACTACTCAAGCGCTGAGTTGGCGGTGGCAGGATTTGAACTCGTATCTTACAACAGTCTGGGTTTAAACTTTTTGTCGGCGCTCTAATCAACTGAGCTATCCTGCCACATATAATAATGATAACAATATATAATATGATAATAATGTATAAACAATATAATAATGATAACAAGTTTATTAGGAGAGTTATATTTTAATTAAAAAAAAATTTAACAAAAATTTTTTTATTTTGGGGTCGTAACAGGTTAGTTCAGACAGATTTATAAAAGTTTCTGTGGTTGTAACAGGTTAGTTCAGACAGATTTATAAAGGTTTGATTGTTTAATCAAGTTGATTATTGGTATTAGTTTTAAGTTGTTAGGCAGTATTTTAAGTTGTTAGGCAGTATTTTAAGTTGTTAGGCAGTATTTTAAGTTGTTAGACAGTATTTTAAGTTGTTAGGCAGTATTTTAAAAATATATGTTTTTTTAATTTATTCAAGCATCTGTTTATATTTTTTCTCAATTTTTAGATATTCTATGTAAATCTTATTATAGATTTTTCTTATAAGATTATATTTTGGTTAGATTTTTCTTGTTTAAATATAGAATTGGTTTGTGACTTTGTTTTTATTGGAGCCAATTTCTATATTATTTATCTATATTTTTATGTTGTTGGAGGCAAGCATTATGGATTCTGTCCAACCTGTTCCAGTTTGGATACACGGTATTTAGACAAAGTGTTTAATATTTATTGAAGGAAACCAAACATTTTACCAAAGACTGTTTAAAAACTTGATGCAATAGTTTTATATATAATATGGAACGCTGCACAAATAGAGTTTTTAGAACAGGTTTCTGCCCCATTAAAAAAGGAATCCTTCTGATACCTGACTTAGATATATAACTTGGAGTGGATAATCTTTTGTAAATCACTTTAATTTGTAATTAAACAGCTTTAGAGTTTGAAAGATTGTTTTTTTCATTACATTTTTAAACTTTTTATACCTTATTTTATTTTTACACCCTCTGTTATTATATTTTTACACCCTCTGTTATTTTATATTTACACCCTCTGTTATTATATTTTTACACCCTCTGTTATTTTATTTTTATACCCTCTGTTATTTTATTTTTATACCCTCTCTTATTTTATTTTTCAACACTGTTATTTTATTTTTCCAACCTCTATTATTATATATTTTTTAATCCCATTGTATTAAATTTTTATGTTTTATGTTTTTTTTTGTTTTTGTTTATTTATATTTTAAACAAATGTATGTGAATAGTTATGATTTAAAAAAATGATCTATGTTGTCTGCCATGATTTTTTATTTATTTTAGAAATAGAAGTATTACCAAATGTGATTGCTGGTTCATACAGTGGAAAAGATTACTTAAAAAGGTACCTTTCTGTGGTTTATTTATTTAGATTAAGGATTTAAATTGCTCCTCAAAAAGTTTTGAAAATACAACTCATAAGAGTTTGTTGTTTTAGTTCTTATTTTGTGATTTGATTAATATATCTGTAACAGTACAACCTTTTCCTTCAAATGAAGGGCTTTTTAATAGTACCAAACAAATGTAAACAGCATTTCTGCTAAATTTATAACTATCATGCTTGTACCAACCAAATATTAAAAGCAATTTATGCAAACTTTAATAAGTTGATCTATCATTTCCTCACGCGTTTGAATGTTTTGGTAAGCATTGCTCTGTTTTTTTCCATTTTCAGCTTAACTTTGTCAAATGTTTAACTATAGATTAACCTGTTTCTCTGGAATGATAAGAAGTTTATTAGATTCAACTGATGAATTAAAAAATCTTGGATAATATAATCTGAGCTATGTAATAGAGATTAAATGTTTGACTTGTCTTTGTTGACAATGTTATTTGATCAGAACATCAATAGGAGTGCAGTCTTGAGATGAAGGAGAATTATAGAGGAAGTGTAAACTTGTAAGTGTAAAATTGCTGATTGCACTCTCTATGGCCTCTTAATGCATGCAATAATTAAGATATATATAGCATACTTGATATGTAGGGTGGGATAGTCTTAGTCTTTTTTTAACTACTTTTAATATTAAGCAAAAACATTTTTTGAAGAATATTTAAATCATGATAAGTTTTAGTAAACAAAAAAGTTTTGAAAAAAAGTTTTAAAGTTGTTTAAGGAGCACCTTTTTTCGGTTTTTTTCAATGAAATATACCAATTCAGTAAAATATGACTGAAGTCATTGAGTATGTATTATATTCAAATTCAGACTGAAGTCATTGAGCGTGTATTATATTCAAATTATTTGATCAAAAGTTTAAACATAATAGTTCTTCAATAGATGTTTTAAATGCAAAAGATTTTACTTCTTTAAAGCACTAAATTAGAAATGCAAAGTAAATATTTTTTCTCTGTTAGCTATTTTCCAAAAAATGGAGAGCTTTTTGTGCTTAAACTTGCATAGTTTTTTTTTTTTCACCTCACAATTTTCTATATTAAATATGATATTCAAATTTGAAAGTTGAAGTAATTATAAAAAGTTGAAGCATGATGAAATTAAAATAATTTAAAGTGAAAGCTCAATTAAAAATTATCCAAAAGTTTTGCGTTATATATTAAAATATTATTTATTATTATCATCATCCTACAAAAGGGACATGTTTTTATAATAAAAATCCAATGAGTAATGGTGCAAAACTGCTATGCTGTGTTATCTACTAGTTTTAATTGAAAACATGATAGCATTACATCTTTAATGATCATTTAAAAGAAACATAGTCAGACTTCTAATTCATACTTACTTTCATCCCAAAGGTATTTATTGTTGTACATTTTTGGAGCACTTAAGAACAGTAAAAGAATGAGCTTTAATTAAATGATGAGTAACATGTGAATGAATTTTATTAGATGGAACAAAAGTATTAAAGTATTTATAGAAAAGATAAAGAGAAGCAACATGTAAGAATGCACCTTGCCTAATAGAGAAAGAGCATCATTGCACCTTGCCTAATAGAGAAAGAGCATCATTGGAATATCCGCCCCAAATACGGCAACAGTATTCCATACAAGGACAGATTTGAGATATAGAATAGAATCCTGAGTTAGAAAGTGGCGAGCACAATAAAGAGATGCAACCTAAGCAGGTGCCAATTTTGCAATGTATTTGATATATGGTTTTCAAAAAATTTTGGAAGTAAGAGTTAATCCTTGAAGATAAAGGGTAAATGACTCATTGAGTACATTACCGTTCATAGATATAGGAAGATCTAGATTATTGTGATAACAATTAGCTGAAAAAAATTGAGTTTTATCTGAGTTAAAGTTCACCACCCACTGAGAGCACGATGCTGTAGCAGAAGGGAGATCCTTTTCAAGCTCAAATTGCCATGTTTAAACTGTTTGAAGTCGGCATCAGGTCAGCAACAAAAATTTAACATAGCAATAAGGTCTGCAATTTTTTGCCAACCCCAGATACTTTTAGGTTGACAGTTAAGTCGGTAATCCCAAATGCTGACCCTAATTCTGAAGGCTGACATGGTGTATAAAACATGGTATATAACGCATGATGTATGATATTGATAATTGTGTACCCTACTATTTTAGTTGCCCTGCAGGCAACTAAAACAGTTTTTATTTCTCATTTGAGTTGTCCGCAATGATAATCAGTAGTCCGCTATTCAAATATGTCTAATAAGAAACGGTTTATTTAAAAATAAATTAATTTATTAATAAAATTAATTAAAGATGGGTTATCATTTTTGTTGTAGTCGATATCTTATTGTTTCTTTTTATCAATTTTAACAAAGGTTTCATTACGTGAAGCAAAAATGTTGAAAGCCATAACTGTAAAGAAATGTTTTATATATAGAAAAATATTCTATTATTTTCTCTCAACCTTCAATCAAATTTAGTTTAGTTGAATATTTAAAACATTATGCTTTTAATGTTTTAAACATTTTTCATTATACTAAGACTTTTTTTTTTAGGAAAAAAGCAGTGATTAAAAAATGGGCTATAAGGTTTGAAAAATGATGCAATAGCATTTGAAAATAAAAAAATAATGTAGTTTTAAAACACATTATAAATTGAGAAAAAACATGCTTTTAAATAAATCAAGGATGTTAAAAAAACAGTACAGTCACACTTCGAAATATTAAATTATATAATGCACCATAGTGTACTCATTGTTAAACTGCTTTAAATGCTTTTGAAAGTTTTCTTTAGAATAATCTCAAGGAATAAAATCTTCATGGATCAAAATATGGTTTTATTAATTAAAACACTTTTGAAAGTAACAAACTGTCTGGTTACCTGCTGGGCTACTGACAGGCATTTTTAAAAAAATTTCAGTCACCCTTGGAGAAAATGAGTTGTCCCATGCCACCGGAAGACCATGAGGGTACACCCCTGATTGAGGCATAACACATAATGTATAACATTGATGTATAAGACCGTATATAAGGGTAATTCCATGTCAAATGACCCAGGTCATGTCACCATACATCTCAGATTTTTCTGATTTTTATACAGTTGAGAGTGCTTAGTAAAATAAGAATTCTTTAAAAATTTAACAACTAGCTCCAAGAAGATTCAGAAATATGACTTTTACTTTTAACAGGTTCCTTTTGTTCATTCCTGTAATTATCAATTTAAACAAATTTAGGCAATTTTTTATCCTATTTTTAATGCTCAAGACACCCATTTGGCCTTGATGGTATCAAAAAAAAAAAAAATTCAACATTCTATATTCATTGATCTTTCAAAAAATATATAGATTTTTATCTGTAAGTATATGGATTTCCATATATGGATAATGGGGCATGGTCTCTACTTTTTCAGTGTAATATTGTGAAGGTAGTTTTTTCACTACCTTCCAGACTAGCCAATATATTAGGGGGAGACTAGGGGACTTTTTTGTAGTGGAATCTAGTAAAAGTGAAAGTGGATAGATTTCCCTCTACCTTCTAGACAAACTGGAGATCTGAAACTTTCAGCATATTTATGTATTCCTGATAAATAAATGTTAAAATTGTTTTCAGGGCAGACAATTAGAGGGTCCATGGCCTGTGACTTGCCATTACTAGTAGCAAAAAATGTCTTCTTTGCATGAATGTCAAAATCATCTTTATGTGGTTTTTATACTGTGCAGTACAACCATTTGAAAAATAAAGAATCTTTGAAATATTAGGATGATTTTCTTTTAAACAATTAACTATTTGTGTCTGAACTTCATACACAAAACCAATGTCATGCTCATTTTCTTCTAACATAAAGGAAAACAATTTTTCTTTAGGCTGGTCATTTTTTTTTAATAAATAGAGGGCAATGGGGACATAATGTGCATTGACTTTGGTAATGGTATGGGGTAATGGTAAGGGATCATTCATAAAGTACATACACTTTTTTTTTGAACCCCACCCCATTTTGCCATATGCTTTTTTGAGTACCCTCTACCTCCCTAAAAGTAACTAAGCTTTTAACCTACCAACGCAACATTTTATGATATTTTCTTTAATTTAGTGTCTCAATACTTTTATAATTGACCTACTGCCCCCCTATCTCATATATGCCATTTGCAGACTCCCTGTTCCTCTCTGAGCGTACATACTTTATGGACGATCCCTAACTTTGGATTTCATCTTGAATCAAAAGTATGTAGTTTTCTGCAAAATCACATAAGACAATACAGCAATCTTTTGTCAACTTTTGTTGCCTTAGGTATCTTGCTTGACATTTTGCAATGTAGGAATGAGCTATTAACTTGTTTATTGCCTCTGATAACATTAATTTGTATTCTTTAATTTTTGGTTGTCTAACAGATGAGTATTTTGTTGTATAACAGATTGAGTAACAATGCTGTTACTTAACTTCAGATGTTAACATTTACACCTAGAGTCTTGGTCAATTTTTTTTGGTGTAAATGTTAACATCTGAAGTTTGGTTTTTTTGATCAAAAACAACTAATTTTTCTTTTATTTTAGCTGTAAGTTTGTCTAAATCATTACATTTACTTTTGTCAATTTTTTTTGGTATGAGGAATTTTATGCTTCAATTCTGCTTCGCTAACATATACTTTTGAAATATGCTTTTCATACATTGTTTTTTTAACTTTAATTTTAGAAACAGATAACCGTTGATACGTAGCAACAGATAACCGTTGATACGTAGCAACAGATAACCGTTGATACGTAGCAACAGATAACCGTTGATACTTTATAGTTTAGTTTCATGGGATACACCTATTATTTAATTTTTGAATAAAGTTTTGATTTTTAGCTTGATCTTTTAACTTTTAATCTCTACTTTAAGAAAACAAAAAAAAAAAACAATTTTTTTTTTAAAGAAAGTTTTGTTTCTTTTCATATTCTTTTCGACTTAAATTATAAAAATAACTATTACAATAACCTAATAAATATTTTAAGTTTTAGTGATTTTTTAACTTCAATGTCTTTAATGTTTAAAAAGATCCATAGTAATTGTAAGTTATTTAATGTACTTAATTCTTTTTATTATATAGATATTTATTTTTTTATTCATTAAGTTTACCATAATTATCTTTTTTTACTTAAAAGGCGCCTTAAAGCACTGTGAAATTTATTCACCTTGAAGCACTGTGAAATTTATTCACCTTGAAGCAATTGGGGAAAAATGAGGGATACATCTATTATTTCAAGACTAGTATTTAATGCCTTTCGTTTCTTGTTTCTGGTAAATTCTCAAAAAATGAAAAATATTCCTCAAATTGACAAGTATCTTGTTCATTAAAATTACCAATTATAACATCTATGCAGCTCTGACAATTCTTTATCAATAATTATTTACCTTTGATTGCTTTTCTTTTTGATTTATGCTTACTCACTAAATTACAACATTTTGCGTGTTTCTTTTCAAAGTGTGCCCCATTTTCTTTTTACAGTAAAGGCAGACTTAAAATTTACTATCTGTTAATCAGATCTCCAAATTAATTTTTCTCTGACACCTGTATAACAATCAAATCTCTTTAAATTAGTCTTTCTACAATAAATTAGTCTATAACAAGTATCATTTAACACTTTTCTAAAATCACATGAATATATGTTTAGAATATCACATCATCCATGTATTTTGCCATTCTTACTGTAAAACTAATAAGTTGTATTTCAGATTAAATTTAAAAATGAGAAACCAATAGTAATTAATATAACTAAAGCAACTTAAACAAAATGGTAACCATTACCATGGTAATGGTAAACAGTGATTGATTTCTTTTATATTTTTTTGAATGTTTAAGATAATTTTTTGTCTCTTTAATAAGGTTGTTTAATTATATTTAAATTTTAAATGTTAAAAATGTTAATGATGAATTTATTTGGTAATAAATTTCTTCTATGCTAATATAATGACAGGATGTTTTTTTGTAACTTTTTTTAATTTAAAAAGACACAACGTAATCTATTAAAATCATTATTTTATATGGATGACTGTTTTAATCTGTATACTTGCAAATCAAAAATCTTATAAACTGTACTTTCTTAAAACATTTTGCAAAAAGTGGGGCATGGCCCCCAATTACTTGGTCCTCTGGTTATCTGCCATGAAAACAATTTTATCAAACATTAATCTGGAGCCCATCACAAGGTTCAGCTACAAAAAAGTGGGGCCCATGACTCAGCCCCCTCCCCATCTTCCATATCTTGTGTTTTAAAAACAACTTTAACATGCATGTTCATCGGCACTGCAGAAATGCCATCAGTTTCAGAAAAATCTATTGCAATACTATACTACAAAAAATTGGGGACTGTTATCCATATACAGAAATAATTGCAGATCAAAATCTTAATACTTTTTAAAAGATTAATAAATATAGAATGATGTATAATAATTTTTTTCTTGATATCATCAAGCCCACATGGGTTTCTTGAGCATCAAAATCAGGTATATTAAAAAACAGCCTAAATTTAAATTGATAATTAGAGGTACTTGAAAATAGTTTTTTTTGAAAATAATTTCTGATCATTTCATTAGATATGCCACCCCTGAAAATAGTCAGGTACAAATTTTTAAGTAAAAAGAGATATTTTTGAAGTTATGTAACTTAAAACATCTAAATAAACATTGCATTGCGGGGACATTGTATTGCATTGAGGGGACAATAGGGACTTGGCCAACATATGTTAAAAGTAAAATGATCATATTTCAGGATCTTCTTGGAGCCAGAAGCTAAAATATTCAAAGAATTCTTATTTTACTAAGTGCTCTCAACTGTATAAAAATCAGCAAAATCTGAGATATAAGGTGACTTTTTTAAAAATTTCTGGGTAATTTGACATGGATTTACCCATAACACATGCGCAATATATCCATAACACATTTACCCATAGTACATGGATTACCCATAACACAATGACATGTAATTCCATGTCAAATTAGCAGGCTTATTTCACCCCATGTTTCGGATTTTGCCAATTTTTTTATATGTTATAGGGTTGATGAAAATTAGGAAAATCTGAAATTTGAAACCTCCGACTCCTTACGGTTCTTGAGATATTTAGGATTCAATTTTCTTATTTATGCCAACTTTACCCTCCCCCCCCTTCCTAAGTCAGTCAACTGGTGCCCAAACAAAACAGAAATGTTTTGTTCTAAAAGAATATCTCTTATAATCTTAATGTACACATTTAATGGATTTTTAACATAGTTTGATGTATCAAAACTACTGTGTATTAAAACAACTGTGAAAAGGAGAAAAACAAAAAGTTTTAAATTAACTGATTTCAACATTGTGGAGCAATTTAGATTTTTTTTTATATGTTAAAAATGTTTTTGCCAAAAACCTGTATGGCTACCCTCCCCACTTGAATCCTACTTGCGCCAGCCCTTTTTCAAGGGTGTGTGTGCATCAATATCTCTCGCATGATGACTGAACTATAAATGAACGGCCTACATCCATTCTTAAAAGAGAACTAGATGACATTATGTTTTCCTTACTTGTCTATACTCTACAAAATCAAAAGCAGAAAAAAATTGGTACAAACTAGCAGGAGAGTAAATCTCTTTCTTAATGCTTGCTTTCAGTAATATGTGTTGTGTAAATATATCTTCAAATTTTTTTTTAACAAACTCAAACTTTAGATTGTTTAGTGTTGTAGATGTACTTAATAGTTATGATAAAAGGCACATAAAAGCATTGATAAAGTATATTTATCACAAGTGCGATTCTCGAAAAACCATTTGCAGGGGTAATGTGCCACCTCCAACCCTTGTTGCCTCCTAATCATTCCCATGGCCCCCCCACAACACTAAACCTCAATCCGCCACTGGGTGGATACAAATTTTAAATTTAAGTTTTTTTGACCGACTTAAATATATGGAAATTAAATAATTTTAATCTATATTTTTAATATATATGTATATATTTTATGTATAATTATATGTAAATTAGATATTTTTTTTTGTACCAGGGGAGGGCTCATGGTCTAAAGCTTTACCTCAATGGCTGCATTTATAAGAGTCAAAAAATACAGTAATATATTTTTTATTATTAGTTATGTTTGATACCTATATAGTAAATTACAACAATACCTCAAAAAACATTATCAAGGTGACATCACCATTTTGACCATCAAAATACCCCAAAATATGTCTTTATTACCTAATTTACATGCAGTTAAGGTAGTCAAACAAATTTTCAATTTGAAATTTGTATTTGCCATGTGGAAGATTGTCTATGTACATATTTCAGGATACCTCATTTGGTTTATAAAATATTGCTATTTAACAACAAAATAGAGTCAGCATAAATAAGAAATTTGAATCCTGAATATCTCAAGAACTGTAAGGATTTGGAGGTTCCAAATTTCAGATTTTCATAATTTTCATAAACCCTATATCATATTAAAAAAATTAACAAAATCCAAAACATGGGTGACATTTTTGTTTTTTTCTGCTGATTTGACATGAAATTACCCATGCATAACATTGGTGTATAAGACATGATGTGTAACACAACATCATATTGTTGTGTTATACGTCATGTCTTTTAAACCAATGTTATTTTAACTTAATTACTACAAATAACTGATTTGTATTTGATTAGTATAAAACAACATGTTCAACAAATTTTTGCATTTTTTTTATGTATAATTTGATTTGCACTGATGTTAACTGGTATAAATTAAAATAACTTTTATCATAGTAACTAAGCAAAGAAACACTTTTTATAAGATGTTTATGCTGAGGCTGATTTGATTGCTGATCTGAACATCAGTTTGCACTTGCGCTTTGTTTGTAGGTTATAAATTTGATATTTTTTTAATAGAAATGAAAATAATTCATTGATTTTAGTTTTCCTCAAGGTCCACATTCTGCTGCATACTTCACCCCTCATGCTCAGTCAATATATAGAGGTAATTTTTTATTATTATAAGTGCTTATTAAAATTATTAATTTTTTTATTGTAATATATTTATAATTAAATTCTCAAAATTTCAGTTTTTAAAAAAACTCAGGTTTTTAGTTACGTATTTTTTTCTGAACAATTGAGTTTTTTTCTGAACAAATGATTTAAAAAGTTTTTAATTTTCTTTAATAAAAGAAATTAAAAATTTTTTTTTTCTAAACTTTTTTAGTTTTCAATTTTTTTAATTTTGTTTTTAATTTTCAATTTTTTTAAATTTAGAATATTTGATTACTAAACCTAAAATAATAATTATTTTTAACAAATTTTTCAGTACATAAAAAGTCTTATTCTGACTTTGTACTAAATATAGTAAAATAAATCGTAGCTTTATTAACAGTCATTTCAATAAACAAATAAAGTTACAATAAAGCTTTTTGTTAAAATTTCAGTAAAGCTACAATTTAACAGTCATTTCAATAAACTTAAAACATCTAGTAAGATTAACAATATGGCAAATTTTTTATTCTGTCCAATTATAGTAATGATAGATTTGTTGGTGCAATTAAAATCTTTAAAAAAAGTGTCTGTTGTTATTCAGATATTTTAGTTTAAATTACATTGCTCTAGTTAGCGCAAAAAAGTTTAATCACGAAAATTTTATATTAAATATAAAATTTGTGTGATTATTTGTGAGGTTTAGAATAGCTTAATTTTCTGTTATAATTTACAGCTTAAATTATGATTTGAAATTTAAGTTGCAGTTATAGTGTGCAAGTAACAACTTTATTAATATTACTTTTAGTAATTGATTTTACTTAACATGATACTTAAATAACTAAAAATAAAAAACCCCCGCAAATATTTTAATATTTAAACCCATTTAAACAGTTATAAAAAAACTACTAAATACCCCATTCATGATGATGAATAACATGTTTTAATTTCAAAGGGTATTAGATTTTTATCATAAAAAGCTACGTAAAACAACAATAAAACAATACTACAAGGTTTTGTTAATATAAAAGCTGTTGTTACTACAAAACAACTTTCCTACGTTGTTTTATCATTGTTTTATTCTGTTTATAATATTATTAGCATAAAACATGTTTATAACAAAACAGAGTAAATAAATTGAATTATTCTTATTAAGTCATTATTGTTAAAACTTTAAACTTGATATTTGTAAAAAAATACGCTCTATTATAGACCAAACAAGTAAGATCAAATCAAAAAAACAAACAAGTAAACTGAAAAAAATACTAAATGTATTAGCTACCATGTTTTTTCTAATTTATTACTTTTTGATCTACCATCTATTAAAAAGTTTAAAATTTTTAAATTTTAAAAAATTAGTTAATAAAAAAGTATAGTTAATTTTTTTACTCAAAGAAGTTTAAAGTTAATGTTTTCATTTAATTTTTTTGTTCAAATTGTTTTGCAATAAAATAAAGGGAGAAAAAAAAAAGATTTAAGTCGAATTAAATTTTCATAATTTTAAGTATTTTATTTTTGAAAAAAAAATATTTACAGCATATAAAATTTTATTTTTGAAAAAAAAAACTTTGAGCAGTAGTATAACTTTTTTTTAATTTAAACTTTTTTGTAATTTAATTGTTACTTAATTAGAAATTTGCAATGTTTTGAATGTTTCTACTTTTTAAACTATTTTCAATAAATAAAAAATAATGGCACCTTTAAAAAAATATTTAACTATTAAAAATTTTTACTTTAAAAAAAATAACTTTCTTCCTCAAATGCACAATCTATCTTCTAAATCTGATATTGTTACTTTGGTTTGATCTATGTTTGATTTTTAGAAATGATTCTTGCTATGCTTTGGGTATTAAGAACGTCGCTGCAGTTTCCATTCAATTAAATTTATAATTATTGTAAGCCAGCGTTAAAATTGTTTAAATTTTTAAAAGATAATTTGCATGAGAGAATTTTAGAAGACGAAAAAGAAAAAAATTCTAAAAAACTCTTTTGTTTACATAGTCTTTTTTTGAAAAAAAAAATTCCTTAAAATAACTTGCGTATTTATAGAAAAGGTTTAATCTTGATATTGATAAATTAATTGTTTTTCATTTGAAATTTCATGTTTAAATAATTTTTAGTTCAAAGCTTGTTATGATTTTGCAACATATAAGATATAAATAGAAACCTTTCTATGGGTAACTTTTGCAATTAAATGTATTTGGGCATATTAAGTATATTTAATATATAAGTAACTTAAGTGTAGTAGCTTAACTCATTGTTTTAGTTTAGTTTATAGGTAAATTTACTGTGATGTACTTTATCTATCAAGTAAATCACGCTAAATTTAACTTTAAAATAGATGTAGATTGTGATTGGCTTCCATGCAGAGATTTTTATTACATTATTTTTATTATTACTATTTAGTAGTAATTAATGCTCAAAAGTGCTTTATGTTGAATAAAAATCTCCATTCGAAAGAGCAAATGGTCGTACTTCTATTTAAAAGTTAAATTTAGCCTGATGTACTCTATGAAAGTTTTTTTTTAGGAAAAATTGGCATTTATTTAGCCATTCCTCAAAATATGAAATGTTTTTGTTTAAGGTTTTTATCAGAGGTCATAAAGTACACCATGCTAATTTAACTTTTAAATAGAAGTTATTATTATCGCAATACGCTTGATTTGAGCCCTGAATTATTTAAAAAGCATTTGGATCTATGACTGATCCATTAATGAAAATTTTTTTAATATCTAAAAACAAACTTTCTTTATTATTGTAACTTCACATTTATTTAGAATAAAGTGACATAATGCTAATTATTTAAAATAGTTAGCATTATGTCACTTTATAAACTAAAAGGAGACTTGCATGCATGCCTATGAAAGGGAAATACATGCATGCATGTGAAGGTGACATTCTATAGAAGGTGACAGCTATAGAAGTATCAATATTATATCATCATTAGTGGATATGTTTGAACAAAAAATTGCCAAAAGAATCACTTCATCTTCAAACTAAATGATTTATAAATAAATTAAAAAAAAAAGAATTTATTTAACATAGTTACAGATGCAACCACTCATGTGAAACTGCATCACACTATCTAATTTTAAATGCCAAGATGAATAGTTATAAAAAACTCTTAAAATGAAATTACTATATATTGATTTCATAAAACATTGATTTAGTAAATTCAAAAAATTGCACTACAGTTTTTCTAACAATGCTTTGAACTTAACACAAAATTATTTTTACAGTAATAAAATTGTACATCATAAACTTTTGGAAAATATTCATATATTTGCAAAAGTTTAGAATGTACAATATAATTAGAAAGTATTAAGTTTTGGTTTACCGCAAGATTCTATTCAAGAAATTTTATTTTTTTGACTTCATCAATGGTATTTAACACTATTTAAATCAACATTGTTTTCTGATAACACAATACTAGTGACAAGTGATACAAATATTACCTATCTAAAAGCAAAGACTCAATTTAATATATTTACCGAGTGGTGCCATGGGACATCTATTTGGAATTCAACTTAGCAATGATCATAACAAGTAAGCAAACAACTAAAATAAAATTGCCAACAATAATATTGTCATAGACAATAATATCTAAGTAACTAATACAAAGTATCTAAGTAACTAATACAAAGTATCTAAGTAACAAATACAAAGTATCTAAGTAACTAATACAAAGTATCTAACTAATACAAAGTATCTTAGTAACTGATACAAAGTATCTAAGTAACAAATACAAGGTATCTAAGTAACTAATGCAAGGTATCTAAGTAACTAATACAAAGTATCTAAGTAACTAATACAAAGTATCTAAGTAACTAATACAAAATATCTAAGTAACTAATACAAAGTATCTAAGTAACTAATACAAAGTATCTAACTAATACAAAGTATCTTAGTAACTGATACAAAGTATCTAAGTAACAAATACAAGGTATCTAAGTAACTAATGCAAGGTATCTAAGTAACTAATACAAAGTATCTAAGTAACTAATACAAAGTATCTAAGTAACTAATACAAGGTATCTTAGTAACTAATACAAGGTATCTAAGTAACTAATACAAAGTATCTAAGTAACTAATGTAAAATAAGTTTATAAAAGTCCATTTTTCAAGGTCTATTCACTTACTTCAGTTCAAGTTTCACGTAGGCCTAAGCCTGCTATTCTTACCAAAACATTTATCAATTTTTTTCTTTATTATTTTCAATTATCAAAATTAGATCAAATTAATTTAAACTGCTAAGTTGCTTTTATAACTCCCAATTTGATTCTTGATTTTAAAAATTAGTTAAACAAGTAAAAAAAAAGTAGTACACAAGATTAACATCTAAGTGTAACAAGTTACACTTTGTTCTTACACAAGATATTTTACTTTGTTCTTACACAAGATGTTCTACTTTGTTCTTACACAGGTTTTTACAAGATTTTTACACTTGTTACTAAAAGTTTCTTACTTTTAAAACTTCAAGCTAGTGCATGTTTATTTATTTTTTAGCACGAACCATTAGTGATGGATCACAAAGCAGTAGTATCAGTAATTTATCACAAGAACTACAAAATGCACAAGAAATGGTATCTTTTTATCAAATTTGTTTTTTGCTTTCTTTAGAAGCTGTTTAGATTTTATATATTTTTTTAACTAATGCGTTACCATGCTTACTAGGGCTGTAACGAATTTCAGCTCGGGCTCCTGCTCCAGCCGAAATCCGGCCATTTTTACAAATCCGGCCCAAATCAGGCTCCGGCAAAATGTTAGCAAATCCAGCTAAAATTTTGTTGGATTTCTGGATTTTCATAGGATATGTATTACATCTTTCTTGCCCGTGATAACATGTATAATTAATATTTTATTTTTACAAATCAATGTTTTTAATAATTCTATAGTCTATGAACTTCATATTTGTTTTGGTGTCTGTATTTACATTTCTTTACAATTTAATTAGCTAAGCCTATTTTCAAACAACAACGCAACAAAAAATTCTGAAGGGAAGACACAAGATATTCTGCAATAATGCAGGTGTATAGACTATGAATTAAATCCTAATCAAATCATTGGATAAGCGTTTTAAAGACATTGAGGAGAAACCTTTTTATATAGTGGTGACACTGGCTGATCCATAATTTCAAATTAAACTCTTCTCATTACAAGCAACATTGACAGGTGAAAAAGCAAGATTGAAGTCAATCTGAGCATACTGAGCAGCAGATTGATTAAAATAATGAAAATCCAGCAAGACAAGCCCAGCTGGATAATTCTTATACATTATCATCATTAAAATGGCAATATATATAGATGAAATTATTCAGTCTACACCCGCTTGTGGCACTGCACATAAACAACAATTACCAACAGACATTGACACTCAGCTACCCAGCTAAAAATTAACGTTCTACGAACGTTACCATAACCTTCGTTTAGGTTTAAATAACATATGCTCCAGACATTCTTTGAACCAATTTTTGTGAACTCTGATTTACAGTTCTTAAATGTTCGCTGTGAACGTTCAAACAACAAACAACAAACGTTGATCTAACGTTTGCTGCAAACGTTACTTTGATAGCTCTTGAACGTCCACCCCTGCTAAAAATTAATGTTACTATAACGTTCGTTTAGGTTTGCATAATGTACTCTGCAAACGTTATTTGAACAAACTTTTGTGAACTCCGATTTACAGTTCTTGAATGTTCGCTAAACGTTCAAATAACAAACAGTGAACTTTTGCTGGAAACGTTACTTTGATAACTCTTAAACCTCTACCTTAAATGTGTTATTACGAACACGGACGTTAACCCAACTTTTTTTTTTCTTTTTAATGTAAAGATTTAAACATACTTTTTGTTTAAACCTAGGTTTGCTAGTATTTGTAATGTAATGCTTTTTTGAAATTACAAAACCTCTTTTTACTTAATAAATACAAATTCACCATGTTTTATAGTTGAATTACACCATATGAAGCTTATAAGAAAACCCACAGTTTAACTATTACATTTACGATTTAATATACATTTCGACCAAAGGCACACAATTAGCTGAGCTGATTACAATTAAGAAAAATAATACTTCTTGTGATAAAAAAGTTTATTAGTACTAGTTAGCGCCCTATAGGACATAAATAACAATTTACATCAATTTAAACTAAATTTTCACAAAACAACATGAACAACATAGAAAATAAAAACATGTTATTCCAGGTGAAAGTCCAGATAATTCCACTAAAAACATTAAAAACATGCATGTCGTATGTAAAATACCAAACCTTATCATACATCATAATAAATAAAAACAATTTCTAATTAAAAACAAATGCATTTTGTGGATTTGATAAACAGACTAGTTTTATTTATGAATTATCTATACACAAAGAATGACATTAGTTCACAATAATGTGTTTTAGGGATAGCATAATTAACTTTACTTTTTAACGGGCCCCTATTATTTTGAAAAAAAATAATTTAAAAGTATCATGTTGGACCTTCAAAGTAGTGAAATTGTTTAAAAATGTCAATTAAATAATCATTTAATAATACAACTATTCTTTTAGATTCAATTAAATAAAAGCTATAGTTTTTTAACCAAAAATAAAAGTACATTTTTACAAGTTTTGAATAAAAAATTATTTCATATATATATATTTTTTAAAACGAATATTATTGTTGAAATTTATATATTATTTTTGCTACATTATTTTGAGTACCAGGTTGACCTACTTTAAAAGAACTTTTTTTTAATATAAGGACACCGTTGAAATGTTAAGTTAATTAAGCTGTTACCTAACATAGGAATAATGCTTTGAAATTTGAAGGAATTATTTTTTTCTTAATTAACATTTAAACATCTAGCCACTTAACAATTAAAAAAAAACTTTTTGATCTGGTCATATAACATATAACATAACATATGCTAGCCCGCACTGTCAGAACTTTCTTTAAAATGTCGCTGAAACAGAAAACAACTGTCACTTAGTATTCTGAATAGTGAACATTGTTGAGCATTTTCAGCACCAAGTAGGAATGTACAGTATTTTGGCTCCAGTAGTTTTTTTTTGAAATCCGGCTCTGGCTTCGATTCCGGCTGGATTTGTTAGGAGAAATCTGGCAAATCCGGTGCCGGCCAGATTTGGAAAAATTAAATCCGGTACAGCCCTAATGCTTACTGAATTGAAAAAGAATAAAATATATTTTTTATGATAATAATATTATTATATACATTTTTTAAATAGTAATATACAATAGCACAAAATAAAATATGTGATATGAAGTTGTGACTAAAAATATAATATGCCTGTTACAACAAAAAGAGCCGACCACACAGTAATTCCTCATTGAACTTTTAGAATAGCCTCTATTTTTGGAGCATTGAGGCAACAAGAGGCTAACAATGTTTGGGTAATATTTTGTGACACCATTCTTTATTTATGGTTTTTTTTAGATCTGTAGCAAGATTGGCTCACTAACAGATCTAAGAAAACTTATATTTTCAATTTTATCCAGCAGTTTTTGATGGGTTTTGAATTAGGTTATTGCCTAGCCATGGGGAAAAAACAGTAATCATATTTTCTTGGAGCCAAGTCTTGAAAATTTTTGCCTGATGGCCAGTTGCTTTGTAGTGCATGAAAATATCAAAATTTCAAAAACCAATTTGACATATTTTTCAAATTTTTAAAATAGTTCTTGGAATTAGCAGTCTCAAATTAATGTAAACTATCAGTATGTGATCCATAAAATGGTTTATGTTAGATCTTTATACCCCACCCTAAAATTTGTTTTAATTATATTGCAAGATTATACTCTCACGTTGGTATTTGCTGAAAAATACAATATTGGACAAAACATTTGCAATTAACATCGAACAATGCTAAAGTGTTCCTAATTTTACATGTCTTAAAAACGAAATGTACTATACTACCACAGCAAACAATTCAGGAGTCTTGAGTCATAACATGCCATGACATGAGCAATCAGCTGACAGGTGACAGCACACAGGCAGAATTTCGTTGACAAGTGCCATTTTGCAGCGGACAAAACAAGTGCAACTTTTTTGGTTTGTTTCATTTTCTTAAGTCTGGTCCGTGTCTACGTCAAGGAAGTTTTTTAATAATTAAAGGAAGTATCCAGAAGTTTCCAGAAGCATGCAGAAGCTTCCAGAAGTTTCCAGAAGAAGCATCTGGAAGCATTCAGAAGTATCCAGAAACATTCAGAAGCATCCAGACGCATCCAGAAGCTTCCAGATGCATCGAAAAGAAGCATCTAGAATCTTCCAGAACAGGTTCACACAGGTTCATTTTACTATATGAGACATGTAAACCGACATGTAATTCTGTCAGTATATGGAAGTCAATCAGTCAGTATTATCAAGACAGTTTATCGAAGTGAGTTTTATCAAAGTGTTTTATCAAAGAACATCAATACAAGAAGTGAAATGCAACAAGTGTTTCATTACATCAATACAGTCCACATCCAACCAAGACGTTGTGTTTCACAGAGCATTATTGTATCATCACAAGGTGATGATACAATAATGCTCACAAAAAAGTATTTGTGATAAATATCGCGTGAAAAAATGTATTAAGACTATGTTTCAAATATCGTTCTACGGGGAAGTTGGCAGCAGATAAAAAGGTGGAAGACTGCGATCCACCACTTCTAGAGAGGATTCTATTATCGTCAGATCTGTCAAGAAGGATCCCTGGATATCATCAGTCGAAATACAAAAGCAATTAGAGCTGCCTGTGTCGGACCAAACAATCAGACGACGTGCTGTTGAAGCCGGATTGTTTTCTCGACGCCCTGCAAAGAAACTGCTGATTTCACTAAATAACCAGAAGAAAAGACTCCTGTTTGCTGCATCTCTTATTGACTGGAATGTGCAGAAATGGTGAACTGTCCTGTTCAGTGATGAATCAAAGTTCAACATCATTGGGAGCGATGGCATTTGCCGTGTAGGTCGACCGGCCGAAAAATGCCTTGATTTACGTTACTGCCATAAGACCGTGAAGCATGGTGGAGGCAATGTAAACAGGTCTGGGTGTGTTTTTCTGTTAACGGTCTAGGTGAAATACATCGAACCAATGGAATAATGGACCGTTTCAAGTATAAAAATATCCTAAAAGATGTTATGTTACCTCATGCTGAATGGAATATGCCAATAAAATGGGTTTTTCAGCAAGACAACAATCCAAAACACACTGCAAAAGTAGTCAAGCAGTGGTTTCAAGACAACCACCTATCGGTGATGGATTAGCTGCCTCAATCTCCGGATCTCAACCCTATCAAGAACCTGTAGGAGATCGTCAACGGCAGAATTAATTGTGAAGATGTTCGTAATAAGGATCAACTGTTTAAAGAAGTCCAAAAGGCCTGGGCAGCGATTCCACAAAGTTTCATTGATCACCTGATTGAATCTATGCCTAGAAGATGCAAGGCTGTGATTGACAACAAAGGATTTACCACAAAGTATTGATAGCGATATTCAGCTCGGTCAACAAGTTGCACTGGTTTTGTCCAGAAGAAAATCAACTTTTTATAATACTTTTGATTAATTTATTAATTTTCGTGTACAAATAATGAACTTT